ATGTCTGTGTCTCATATGGCCTTGATATTTGCACACTCTGTGACTATACAAACCACAACATGTAAATAGGAAAACGTTTGCGTTATTTTGTCACTCATTTGGATTAGTATGAAAGCTGCAACCATTCACATCCAGTCTTTGTGCTAAGCTAGGCTAGCGGTGGGTGCGTCAAACAGACTTATAGCACGCACGGAGATGAAAAAGGTATGTATGGACTTATCTAACTCTGAGGGGGTAAGGTGAATCGGCTAAAGTCCCAAAAAGTCGGAGTGTTCCTTTAAGCCAGCTCCTTGTTTCCTGTCTGCCATTATTGGCCGAACTTGATTAATTCAGGTGTGTCTGATTATTGTTGCCGTGACTACCGAGGTCAGGCACACCTGGATTAATCAATTTGTCCAATAATGACAGACAGGAAACAAGGAGCTGGCTTAAGTTCAGGAAGTAGTGTAGCTGTGCATAAAGCCAATTGAATTGAAATTCCAGTTCAACTTCCCGTGTGATGTGGCCATTAAATTAAAATGTACACTCATGAATTAAAAGGGAACCAATTCTTTTTACCCATGCAACTTCAGTTGAGGTCCAAACCTTTCCAATCCAAACATTTCTGGTAAAGCAACTCAAGGTACTTCGTTCCAGCTTTCTTAGAAATTGAAAGGGTTTTCAGGCACAAAGAGTATCAGTTATTCTGCCATTCATGTGCCGGAGGCAGAGTGGACATTAAGAAGAGAGACAGGGCGCTCTCATCAGCACACAAGGGACTTTCAGTGTCTCCCTCTCATGCCTTTTCATCAAAGGCTGACATCTGACTTCTGGCCTCACTCATCACAGACACAGAGCCGGATAAAGACGACCCGATTCGGGCACAGCTGTCCAGCAGCATTTGCTTCACAGAGCAGGCTGTGACCTCCAAAGTGCCCGGTACCTCCAACGGTCTCCCACACTGCCCCACTATCGTCAACCTCTGGCACACTGAAAGCTTTTAAACCTTCGGCCGACCAATAGTACGGTACGTCTCATATAGGGGCTTGGCAACATCATCAAACTCGGAGGAAGAATGACGCTATAAAAATCAAAAGCGAAACGCCGCAGAACAGTCATCGTAACACAGCGTCAATGTCCAGGTTGCAACAAAGCAGCATGTTGAAATGTGCCAGACTGTCGTGACTCACAACCTTGGCTTCTTTGAATGACTAAGACTACATCTTCAGCGCCAGCTTTCCATTAAAAGACCAGCATTGTTACATGGCTTTCCCCATTCCCAATGAAAAAATAAAAATGCACAGTGGCAAAAAAGTAACAGCCCTGAGGGCATGTATGCCCCAGCTCAGATAACAATCTCAAAGCCTGCAAATCACAAGGGTTAGTCAGACAAGAGCTCTTACAGCTAAATCTGAGAAACAGATAGTAAGAACAAGAAGAGGATGTGGAAATGTTGTACAGGAAAAGTGGGATGTGTGAGGAAGAAAATTCTATAACCCAAATTTACTTCAATGTGCATTTTTGTTTTCAAGTCAGAGTTAAGGAACATGTGTCATAAAGCATCTAATTAAAGACCGAGCCTGTCCTTCACACCAAAAATAAAAAAAACACCACTCGTTTTCTCCCTGAGAAATCCCTTATTTTCCACCCTGAATGTCTTACACATACATGCTGAATTTCTGTGAAATCTAGTTATAGATACACTGCAAAAATGTTTTTAATTAGTCCCCTTTGACTCGTTTTCCTGGAAAATATCCTAACATTTTTAAATCAAGATTTTAACCCTTAGGGGTCTGAGGTGTTCTCTGGGTCCTGGAGGTGTTCTGACATGCTCTGACATTTGTGTTTTCACATTTTTTTTCTGTTACTTGTGACATTTTCATGGCTAAAGTATTATTACACTGTATTCGGCACAAACTCTGCTACAATAATATGTCAGCAGCATGTATGTAAAATGTTGTAGTTTTGAGATGATAACGTTTATGCGTGGTTTGTGAAAAACAAAAAAGCATGTACAATACCACTCAAAATGAATTAATATACAATACTGGGACTGCTTAAAGTGATTGGTAAAGACTTTTCTGGTGTTACAAAAGACTTCTTTTTCAAACAATGCTGTTCTTTTGAACTGTCTATTCATCAAATAATTCTGGGGGGAAAGTAATGTTTACACAAAAACATGGCAAAAAAAACGGTTTTCAACTTTAATAACAACACTTTAAAAAAATATTGTTGGTTTAACTTAAAAAAAATCAAGTAACCTTAAAATTTTAAGTTGATTGAACTGGAAAAAGTGAGTTAATACAATGGAGGAGGTTGATTTAATCATCAGAAACTTAAATGAATAAGTTATCTGAACTAAATAAATTATTTAAGTTGATTTGACAAAAGGGAAAATGTTGTGATAACATTTAAATCTTGAAAATATTTTTTTTTTACAGTGAAGAAATGTTTTTTTTTGAGCATCAAATCATCATATTAGAATGATTTCTGAAAGATTGTGTGACACTGAAGAATGGAGCAATGATGCAGAAAATTCAGCTTTCATTGCAGGAATAAATTACAAAAACCAGTTATTTTAAATTGTAATAATATTTGACAGTATTTCTGTTTTTGCTCAATTTTTTTAACTAGATCTGCATTTTGTTTAAAGAATGAAGATTCATTCTCTAAAAATATCTTATTTAGCATTGCTTCAGGTAAATATATCTTGTTTTTTTTAAGTGGATATTTTAACTAGAAAACCACAACAACAAAAATACTCGTTAAGAATAGGATTTATTTTGCACTATGTACAAGCTACTATGATCCCATCAATTATCAAAAATGTTATCACTTTATTTACAAGTATTACATTTGTCATTTGTGAGGCGAATAAATAAAGAGAAATTTGATGTTTCGCAGTCTGTCCGGATCTGCATGAATTGACAAGCAGCGGCAATATTCTCTGTTTTATGTATATTAGTTTAAGGTTGCCACATTGAATCAGCTGGAGCGTCAATCCCCAGTTCACTAATTACTGAACCGAAGATAGAGCGCCTTTTAGCTGCTTTTTTTTTTAAAGAAAGAGAAAAAATAAGAAAGAGTGTGAAACTGTCCAATTTGTGTTCGGTAGCCACAGGGTAGTGAACTGATCAAACGTAAAACCTCTGTCTTGTAGGTTTTTGGGAAGGACCATATTTGTCACATCTGTGCAGCTTTCATGACAAAAAGAAGTGGAAAAGCAAGATGTGGGGTGATTTAATAAGAGGGAAAATAGATATGTTCTCTTGATGACGGAAACGATTCTCTTCTTTGTTTAGAGAACTAAATTCTTTTAGGCCAGTTGCTGGTTTAATCGCTAAAAAATTAAAAAGCAAAGCGCAAGCCAAATTTGCTGGCAAGGGCTTCATTCATTCACAGGGTTGGCGAGATAACACATGGGGGCCATATGGGTGAATGCTAAAAGAGTTAGCTTACATCTGGGTCGACTCTTTCAAAACCATCCCAGTTTCCAAATGTTGTCAAAAAAGCGCCAGTCAAACATGGCCGTGAGCCACAGGATTGTATGTTATTGGTGCATGCCAAATATTAATGATGGAAGGAATGAATGAGGAAAGAAACCTGATAGTGTGGACTTGATGTTCTGAGCCGACTTTGTCGAGATTATTCTGTTCTGTGATCTTTCAAACAAATGGTGCGCTCGATAAAAGCATTCGTCTTCTGAAAATACAAACTCGTCACCCAATGCCACAAGCCACACATCAGTGTACAGGAAAAGGGATGTAATGGAGTTCTTAAACAGAGTTAGGAAAGAAAAATGACTTGTCACAACAATTCATCTGTATGTTCATAAGAGTAAACCCTTTAACAATGGCGCTCACACACACAAAGCAAACAACAGCTTTTGTAATACAACAGTGAATGGTTGATTGGTGAACTCAAGGTTTGCCTTTAGGATTAGTCTCATGTATTTCTGATTGCCAAGAACCACATTAGAAAATCACGACTCAATCAGACCAGAGGTACGGAAGAGGCTCTTACCATTGTTCAGATGTACGCCGTTTTCATTCTCTGGCCTGTACCTGCAGGAAATCGTAGCTTTTAATTACCAGGATGTGCCTCCAAGTACAAATAAGTCCATCTCTGGTCTTAATTGCCAATGTAGGGCCAACAAACATAATTGGCTGGCATATTTAACACATCAGCATTGTTCATTAAAGGAACAGTTCAACCAATAATGAACATTCTGTCATCATTTACTCATCCTCGTGTCATGACTTACTTTCTTCCAATGAACACATAAGGAGAAAATCTGAATAATGTGCTGGACGAATCACTCAGGATGGTTCTTGTGAATTGGATTAAATGCTTTATTGAAAAGATCTGACACATAAGAATGTTCCATTCACAAATTAAACATCGCTACAAATGAGTCATTAGTCACTCTAGAAAGCCCCAGTACAAAAATTCCCCCTTTGTGTTCCATAAAAGAAAAAGTCATATCCACTTGAGTGTATAGTAAATGATGCCAGATGCTATTGTAATTTTCATTTGGATGAACTATCCATTTAATTCCATTATACACAACTCTAAATGATCTAGATTTAGCGCCAGATATACATTGTACAAGCACACATTGCAAATGCATTTATAAAACGGCAAATAGCCAGAAAAGATAGAAACAATGAAGGAAGCATGTGGACTTTAAAACAGACTAATCCTAAAGACTTAAATATGAAGAGAAGATGGAAAGATGGAGTGGTTGGGTGGGGTGTACTGTTCATAATGGTGTGAAAATTACAAATTAACAGTAAAACTGCAGACTTGTGGATTTTCAGGCAACCAACAGAGTCATTAATTCATAAATGTTCATGTTGACTTTAGAAATGTTGGAATTCACTGTGTGAACGCATTTATTGAGCATGTGGCATCCCATCATAAACCACTTTACATAAACTACGGTGACATTAGCTAAGTTAGTGTGTACATTAATGAAGTAGGACAAATTACAGCCAGAATGTAAGGTCACTGAGTCTTACCTGGGGCAGGTTCCTGGATCTTTTCCCGCTTCCGCTTCTTTTTCTTTCCCTATGAAACAGCCAGAGGAATATTTAAAGGGCCGTCATGAAAGCATGACTCTTCTGCCATTTGTCAATTGAAAAAATATTCCTTACTGTAATAAAATAAAATAATTAATAAAATAAAAGTCCAATACCCTTCCTAATTCTTCTGGATTCCATGTTCTAATCACCAATCAGAAAGTTAAACAAGAATAAAACATCTGCCCCTGCTCCAATTGACACGACAAACACTCCTCCAGAGTGAGAAGTCTGGACTGCTTTAGGATTTGTAGCTTACCCAAAATCCCCTGGCAGGATGACTATAGGTATAGATAGTGGCGCACTGTCATTTTGCAGTCCAATATGAGCAACGCTATGGTTGCCTGCTGTAAAGTCTGATAATCCACTTATTCAGTCACTAATCTGTGTATTCTAGCCCTGGCTGACAGAACCAAGAAGCCCAGAGCAGGAGAAGCGTCGATGACAGAGCAGGGATACGCTCAGAATCCTTAGCACTATTAAATACAAGTGTGCTCCCACCACTAATATATAAGTGGAGATGAAAGTTCATCTGTCTTTGAAGTGTTTCGTTTTAGTCCTGTTGCTTTTCCATTTGGTGATTAGTGTGAAAGCCAGGTTTTAGTTTTAGCATCACATCCTGGCACTTCATATTGAGTGAGATTTATGCTGGTTAAAACTTAACCATACATTTTGGAGGTGAATTCTGCAAGTGTACTGCCTTAATATCTGCAACACCTGTGCAAACTAAAGGAATAATTGTATATAATTGTATATAGGATGCAAATGGCCTCATTTATGTACCATAAGCAGAATGGATGAATGTAAATCCTTGTGTAAAACCATTCTAATACAACAATTGAAGAATTGTTCATAAAAATATTTGTATGAAAACCATCACATTCAACGCAATTTGCATTTACACAAACTTAACAGGCTTGTGATTCATGAATCAGTCGTAAAACCAACACTTAAACGTCACTTAAATTGGCATAATTCGCGCAAGAACATTTTCAAGAACAATTTACACAAATTCAGTCTGCTCATTTCTGAGCTTCATTTCTGAGACTCGAGCAGAATAAATTTATCATCAAACCACGCTTATGTAAAGGATCACTTTCAGTGCAACAATTTACGCAATAATATATATATATATATATATATATATATATACAGTATATGTATATATTTACATTTACATACGATTAACAATTCTGCTTGTGTTTCTGCCTCATTTATGAAAGTCAAGAAGAATGGATGTGTTTTGTAAATTTGTATGGATACATTCAATGCAATAATTTACAGAAAAGCCTTTTTTGAACAATTTGCACAAATTTGTTCTGCTCACGTTTCATGAATGAGTCACAATAAAAATCCTATGAAAATAACCATCAATAGAAGTCATTGTGAAACAATGACCAGCCTTTTTGTTAAGGCTTTTTTAAAATTAAATACAACAAATTGCTATCTATCTTGTGAATATTTGCATTATTTAAAGCGATACTCCACCATTTTTTTGATACATACCTCTGTGGTCTCAGTAATAGGTCTCAGCGTAATATTACAGTAAGTGATTGGGAGCGCTTCGACTCGGCGAATATATCTATGGACTCGGCGCAGTAATATCATCACTCTGAGAGGACCTTTCACGAATGATGATATTACTATGCCGATTCGAAGTGCTCCCAAGCACTTGCCGTGGTATTTCGCCATACAATATAGTTATCCACTTTACACGCTTAGAAAAGCGCAACGTTTTATTTTGTGTCGCCCTCCTAGGTCGAGTTACACTGCTCGAGTAACTGTATTTAAATAGGGAAAATGTGGAGGTGTTTGGTCGCTTCTCTGCTTGGCCAATATTGAATGAACTGGGCTAGTTAAAGTCCCCGTGAAATCAAAATTGAACCTATTTACTTTGTTAGCGCATATTACTAGTCTTGTGGTGAACAATTAATCCGTGCAAGTGAATATATATTAAAAAAAAATGTTTTACCTAAGTAATCTTTAATCAAAATCTGAAAAGTTACTTCCGGTCTGGAACGGTTTCTTTTTCTGATGACGTAGGTTTCACAGTTTGGGTGGGGAAACGCTTAACCACTCCCCTCAAACCGTTAGTTTGCTATGAGCGAGAGATGGAGAGGAGGAGCGCTAGAGTAAAACCCTGCCCTCTGTTCAATATTCCGTTTCACTTGGAAATACGTCACAGCACTGGAGAAAAATCGTTTGCAACTTCCGGTTCACGGGGACTTTAAGTGCGATCAAAGTGTCTCGCACACCAGATATGCATCAACTTGTCTTAGTTAAGGGAATAACATAGTGTAATATGAAAAAACGGTTGAGGATCCCTTTAAATATATATTTGAGTAGGATTTTAGACTTTTTATACCTATGGTTACACTTTTACAATTTTGGTGTCCTTGTCACAGGTTACATGTAGTTAACTATTATTACTCAACTCTTTGAATTGAACACCTTAAAATAAAGCGTCTCGGACTTAACTTTCGGACTACAAAACAAACAACATAGACTTGTGAATCGTGTCATCTGTAGTAGCGAGTATGCATATATTTTACATTTTTGAAGACACTCAAACATTGCGAGCATTATATTTACTCTCAAGCAATCAACACATGACACAACTCTCAGTCTCAGGCAGTGTGTTAGTGTGGACACTTACATAATTGTCTCTGGCAGACCATCCTGGGTAAAGCTGCATATGGAGCTGCCGTTCCTTGCGGGCTAATTCGTAATACTTAGCTTGCTCTTCCCGAGATAAAGCATGCCACTGTTCGGTGCAGAGGGAGATTAGAGAGAGGGGGGGAAAAAGTAGTCAATTACCGACATGCACTTTTAAGTTCCTTCTAAAGAGTCGCATGCTGGCGTTTGGCTAAAAATCCTTGTTAACTCAAATGTTGTGTGTGTGTCAGTGTAAATCTGTGTGTGTGTGTGTGCGCGTGCCTGGGGGTGGAATGGAACATGATGAAGAGATTAACATATGCAGCGATGAGAGAAGGGAAGAAAAAAACACGAAACTTTGATTTCATATCAAAACACTGGTTCCAATTTAGCGGCGCTTTACTTCAAACCATGTCAGGGTGCAATTACCCCACACCACCGCAAAACGGTCCTTTGCTGTGGCTAGCCGCCTCAAACCGCCATAAAGCATTAAATATGTTTAACAGCTCCTCTATTTCCAATTCCGAAAAAGAAGGATTACACAGTTAAACCATCTACCTGCCCAAAGCCCCCAATTTCTGAACCGCCAGCTTGTGTGTTGGTGTACTTGTAATATTGAGTTATACCGATGTGCTAACTATGATAGAGCCGTGGTGCAAGAGACCCCAAAGCGTGAAGGCGAACCACATACGTACCCTCCGGCCGAGGATCTGATTGATCGCGGCGCTCTCCTTCAGCGTGCATTCGGCCACCACATTGGCACGCATCTCTTTCATATACAGCATGAAAGCATTTAGAGGTTTCTTGATGTGAGGTCTTTTGGGCTCCTGCTCCTTTCTCTGCTCATGCTGAGATTTCCTGGAGAAACAGGGGGAGGAAAGAGTTAAAAAAGGGGGGGAAGAATTATTAAGTGATACAGGGAAATACAAAGGGGAAAACCGCTCAGAGGGAGGTGCGAAAGCGGCTGCCACAGCGACGCCATGGCGTGTGAGAGCGCCGAATGTCTGATTCCAACCACCAATCAGAAAGCTGCGTGAGAGAACAATCTGGGAGCCAGTGCCGAAAAGCTAGCAGCGGCTTTTAATTATGTCCATTTGGGTGCTTTCATGCAAAGAGATTACTTCACCAGTAATGGCAACCAAACCTTCATATTCCCTCTCTCTAGTCTACGAGAGTCCCAGTGTTTCATTCCCATTGGTGACCTAGAGCTGATAGGTCTTGCCAACAGCACGACTCATATTCGTTGAAATCAGATGCACCAAAAATCTAATTTGAGCTGACTGATGAATAGCCAATATAATACAGACCTATTATATTTTGAGTGAATAGATAAAACAGAATAAACTAAAATCAATAGTTTTAAAATCGCAATTAAACGAAAGTAGCAACAGATCTTTTGCTGCATATTGCCAGATTAGTGAAAAAATGGGTGGGACTTTGAGATGTGGGCATAGCACTCAAAAGTGCACTCAAGGGCAAGGTTGAAGCAGACTAAGGCTTTGTCCACACCGATATGCGTTTAGCAATAAATTTTGTATCATATCTGCGTTTCGTCCAGACGGATCCAGCCTTGGGAGCCTGAAACCGCTATTTTTTTAAAACCGGGTCCCAAAGGGGATTAATCTGAAAACGACACCCTTGCGTTTTTGTGTGTACAGCCAAAGCCAGCCAGTGCGTATAGTTTGTGAAACGATGATGTCATCACCCACATGTCGAACCTAGTCAGATACCGCTACGTCACATAAAAATAACTTCGGACTACATGCTTGTGTTCATGCTGCAGAAGCTACTGAGCCCCGTTTTATTTATTTATTTATTTATTATTTACTTGTATGTATGAAGAGTTCAGATGCAAAAGCCTCTAAGTGCCATTTGAAATTTTCTTCTAGAATGATCATTTTTATCAAGCTTGTATATTTAAGTTCAGTGATTTCACTTAAATGGCAATGATAATTACCTATTAATTGTTATTTAAGTTTGATACAAAAATCATCATTAAAGAAGAAAATTTCAAATGGTATTTAGAGGCTTTTGCATCTGAACTCTTCGTATATTAAATTTCCTTATTTGACTTTATTTTTCATATTTTCTTTCTTATGCTATGATGCTTGTCTGTTGTCTGATTAGACATTTCATATTTTGTACTAGGGGAGTCACCACGCCTTAAAATTAGTCCACATGAGGTGCATTGGCAAAAAAAAAAAAAATCCAATTAGAGAGGCACTTCAAGAGAGTCCGCACACTCCACCAAAGACGAGAGACGTCAAAAAGCAAGATAAAATCAAATGCTTTTACTGGAAATAGTGGGAAACGTTTCGGTCACATGTGGCCTTTCTCAATGCCAAGCTTACAACAATACATTTAGCTATTCAAGGGTGGGGAAAGTGATACTTTAAAAACGCTTTTGGAAATTGTTGATGTTTGAAATCAACCAAAACAAACACACTCCTCTCTTCATTGCTCCGCCTCCAAATAAGAAATCACGCTCCAATCCTAACTGCCCTGCTCCGAGCCGGTCTCGAACCTCGATCACCAGCATGCGAGGCAAGTGCACTAGCAATGATGCTAAACACAGCATTCTCTAGCAATCTTCAGCGCAACTCTCACCAGCTGGTCTCCATTACACACAATCCAAGAGTGGATGTCTGTTTATCATAGCAGAAGCACAACAAAATAATGCTTCGCAAAAAATAAAGCGCAGATGAAGAACGAATGACGATGAAGCACAAAAAAATTCACGTACAGTACACAATAGAAAAGGTTTGTTGTTAGTTGCCAACAGCACAGCAGCTCCAGACAAACAATGTTACTCATGTAGAGCGAATGAATCAAAGCAACATCCATGTCAGGTCCTAAAGCTCTTTCCTGATCAAAATCCTTCATTTTCCAGTTATTTCTTCTAAGCTTTTGTATTGTGTCTCATCTCTATTATGTCTTTTTTTCGAATCTCCCTCTTTTGCTTGTCTCTCTCCTCCACCGTCATACTGATGTTGATTGGCTACACACGTTTGTAGTTGTTTGTGTCGGTCGGTCTAACTCAAACCGCATTTTTCAAATATATCACTTACCCCACCTTTAAATATAGAGTGTTTTTAAAAGCATGCACAAATAAATGTACTATATCAGCAAATATATATCTCATATTAAGCAATACCAATAAATTAAAACAAAAAATCTCTAATATTGGCCAATAATCAGTGCTCTGTAATTATATGTGCGATCAGGGAACATAAAGACATTGATTGTATTTTTAGCATGCTATAGCTGAATGGACGAGACACTCACATGTGCATCAGGTCTGTGTCGTGATGCGGTTCGTGTTTCACCTGCGGGTTGACAATGGCGGGATGGGGGATTCCCGTGGCATGGGGTCCAGGAGGGCCTGGTACCATGTGATGAGAGAACCTGAAAGTGAAAAATATTGCGTGTGGGTTAATGTATCATTCACTCTCCGTATTCATAGCTAATAATATTTACCTTTTGAATATTCATGCTCTCAAAATAAAATAAAATAAGTCTATGTAGCCAACGTATGGAATTTCCTGTCTCTACTTACACAATTAGCTCTAATAAAACCTGATCGGTTTTCGTCAAAACCAAGTTGTCAAAAACCGACGATCTCTTTAAATGCACTCACCATCCCAGTGGAGGGGTCATCTGTCCGACTCCCCCAGGGGAGAGAGGGTAGAAATTGGGAATGTCTGGTCCAGGATGATGCCTGGGCATACCTGCTTCAAGATTCAAGAAGAAGCGGATGAGAAAACCACAGTGACGTGTGTTAGTGTGAGACAGACACATCTGGAAAACAGCAGTGTGACATCAATGTGTGCTGCACAGTTGGGCCCTATGGTCCGGTACGGTGCATATAAGCGGATCATGGGATAATTAGGAATGCTTTTGCGCTGTTCTAATAAGCCCCGCTGATATGATTCATGCTGCTTTTGGATGTCAGCTGGCCTGCGGTACTAAGCTTCTCAACTTCACCCCAAACACACGCGTGCACACTCACACAAACACACATCTGCACCAAGGTCAAGACAGTGTTTGTGTATAAAGACTTAAACTGAGGAGGAAAAAGTGAAGTAAGTCCCTAGGGCTAAATTGAACTGTCAAAAGGGTGTCCGTGGAAGACAACAAAACCCTAGGGATATATACACAAACAGCAAGAACATTCAGTTTAAAATCAACCCTTGAATCTCCAACTGATCATTTCTCTTTCACATGGAGCTCAGAGTGTGTGTTCCTGCAAAATAGGCTTGATGGCATATCAGACAGCAGAAAAGGAAAATCATCCTGGTGATCCTACAATATGCACAGTAGGATCACCAGGAATGTATATTTAAAAGGTAAACGTGGTCTACTTTGATTTCACGCCGACTATCTGTACGAAACCATTAAATGCTGCACATTTACCTCAATTCTTACTGAAAAAGATCTTGAAAAGGCTACTCTCTCATATATTCTTTGTGTAAGTGTATTATCCATTCCGCCCTCGGCGTATTATGTCTGATGAATAAGTGACTCCATGTTTGTGTATGAAAACAGAGCAAGTTTTGGATCATTTGGCCAATCTGCTTGTGGCGTGCAGCCTAGTTTAGGCTATTTATAGCTCTCCAGACCTCCTCTACTTCATCACATCCTGTCTGCCCTCTCCCTCGCCAGTTGCCACAGAGGTGAGTGCTAGCCGGAAGGAGCACATATGGAGTTGTGTTCGCGTGCAACAACGCCTGCCAAAAATCTCAACGCCCCGTTAAAACTGTAACCCCACCACCTTTGACAGACTTAGGGGAAATAGGATTCTACTACGAATGAATTGTTAGCTTATTAAAGTGTAAGTGTACAGTTCATGTCTCTTCAGATTAGTGATAGTAGAGAAATAGTGCTTAAGAACACCAGGAAATAACATTCCAACACACAGCAACAGAGTTAAAGGGACAGCGCACCCAAATTGAAAAACCGTCAACCTCAAGTTAGCCTCAATTTAATTTATCTGTGGAACACAAAAGATGATATTTTGAAGAATGTTGATAACCAAACATTTTTGATGATACTGAGAAAAAAAATATTCTCAAAAAATCGTATATTATACAGAATAAAGTCAAATGGGTTTGGATGACATAAGGTCTAGTAAATGGCAGATTTGTCATTTTTGGGTGAACATAATTTTTTTTTACCCATATTGTTCCCCATACTTCCTTCGCCTATCCAAAACAATTTTCTTTTCCGCTGATGTAACCAAAAAATATTAACCAATATCAAAGCCTACATTTCAGTTCAATAAAATGAATTAAATCAAGCTCATTCCTATATAATTTTCCACTGAATATTCTATTTTACTCGTTATTTATAGAACATATTAATGTTATTTATTATGCATTGAATGCATTTTTGAAGTCATTTGACCCCTAAGTCAAAGTTGGGGACTTGTCAATTATAAGAATCATAGTGGAAGCTAATTGGAAATGGTTGCAATTGTGAATTGAGTATTTAATTTAGTTTTATATCCATTTGTGTTGCTCATGGATATTATATTTAACTAAAATAAAACTAAAACCATTTAATACTTAATGTACAGACCAATGGCAGACGTAGTTATAGCTGCTAAATTGTGATTTTAGATGACTTTAATAGTTTGCAATGAACAACAGTAGCATATTTGTGCGGTTTGCATGCGTTTACCTTGCTTGGGGTTGATGTCCTGTGGGTGGTGTCCCGAGTGTGGGCCGGGGGCGAAGTGCTCGTCACTGTATGTGATCAGAGGGGTGAGAGGGTGAACGGCATGGGACGGCTGAACCACCGGCACCTTATTTGACTGCAAAACACAGAGGGAAAAAATCATCATAAAAATGCGACTGAGGCATTCAGACTAACAAATCGGCATCAACCCAAAAAAGTTGAGCATGCACACTTCCAGCTCACCAGTGCTGATGTGTGGATTGCCTACTGCAGTAGTTTTGGAAAGAAACGAATGAATAAAGAAGGGGGTTGGGAGAGACAGAGGAGGAGAGAATGAGAAACAGGGAGGGAGGATGGGAACGCCACAGGGCAGAGGCAGACCAGAGGTCTCGGGGCTGAAGATCAAAGGGAATCATTAGCCAGTGAATAAGGGAGTTCATTACAGAGCCCCGGCCGTCTGCGGTGGAACTAAGCAGGGTTAATCACGTCAGCAGTGGACTCAACACACACACACAGCTCTGAGCTTACTCACAAAGCAGTGCTCTCCACACCACAAAAGGACATCAAGTACACAATGTGCAAGAACATGTAGCACTTTTTCAGATAATTGTTGAGCTTCTCCTTTACCTGGTCTACTCTACATATGATCTATTTCTGTCCAAAATAGTTTATTTATGAGAGCCATAACTGCTAAACTCTGGATTTTCTTTGAGCCCAAAGTCAAAGTTGGGGGCTTGTCAATAAAATAATCAAAGTGGAAAGCTAATTGGTACTGGTTGAAATTATGAATTTTGACTAATTTTATTTAATTGTATAAGCATTTGTGTAGCTCATGGATATTGGGGTTAACTAAAATAAAACCATAAAAGAACATGTTACTTGAAATGAAAATAAATGTAAATGAAATAAAAAAATAAATACATTTTCCCATAGCAACATTTTCAACTAAATGAAAAACATTTTCATTTAGTTGAACTTGATGTACTAAAACAGCTAAAACTCAAATAAAAATGAATAAATATTATATATATATATATATATATATATATATATACACACACACACACACACACACACACACACACATATATATATATATATATATATATATATATATATTTGTGAATATATAAATATATAAGTGAATATATATATATATATATATATATATATATATTGCTCAAAAAATAAAGGGAACACTTAAACAACACTTAAAAAGTAAAAAAAAAAGTATTTAATAAGATTATTTCAGTATATATTCAAAATTAAAATGGAAAGTATAAAATATTGGTAAGTCTATAATAGAATCTCAATGATACTAAATCACCACTTTGTAGCTTAGATTTAGCAATAAAGCTTTAGAAAATATTAAATAAGAAATATATTTTTATGAAGAGACCAATCTCTTTCCCATTGATCAGTGTGGTAGCATGAGAATTATGAAATACATAAAGCATTACGCATACACATCCTTCACCATTCATTAATTTGCACTAGCATGATAAAAACTGTCCTGTATTTGTTAACCAGCAAAAAAAGACACAAGAACACACATTTGTTCATTGTGAGTGGAAAATTCCCAGGAAGACTTCAAGGCAGCTTATAATCACATCACATTTCAACTAATGTATTAAAAATGTCCTATGAAATCAGTCTGAATACAAAAACAAACACGAAATCCCTTTGAAAGAAAAGTGCAAAAAAATAATTCATTGATTGCCTATTGTTGCCTAAAACTTAATTTAGGTTCAGCTGTATTAAATCTCCACAACTTTACCCGTCTCACACGAGTAAGAAGCGGCCCACCCGTGCCACAGGCAAAACTCCCACAGGCATGAATGAGTGGTTTGTCCTAATTTGGGAGCAAAGGTTGCCGTTTCCGACCAGCTTATTGGCCAGAGAGGCAGGTGTAGGGTGCCATTTCCTCAGCAGACGTACTGCTGTAAAACCATGGGGAGGGAAGAGTGTGTCCGTGTGTGTTTGGATGGGGGTGTTATTATTTCAGAGTCTCTCAGACACTGGAGCGTCTGAGAGGGAGGACGATGAGATGAATGGCATTCTCTGGAAAGATCCCAGCTCTCATAACCAACACTAGGAGTTCCAAACACGTCCAAAACACCAACATTTCCCAAGGCATTTTTTGGGAGTCTTGATGCTGATAATACAAAACTGTGTATGTTCATTTATTCCTCATACTTTTGAAAATGCCAGATGTAGGACATGCACTTGGATCCTTTTTTGGTCCTAGAAAAACAAATATAGTCCTCCTAACCCTATCCCTAACCCAATCCCCAGTAAAACCAAAGGAAAATGTTAGGTTGATCATGTTTTTGAAGCCCTAAGCTCTAAGTGTATCCCTAAAATATGCTGGGAATGTTGTTCCAAGACCAACAAGGATGTTGAACAAGGAGCATGTCCTATTTGGTGTAGCAAATATATTATATTTAACCACTTTTAGAAGGTTGTTTCGACCCCACTTTTGGCGTAATAATAACTTAAACGTATATAAACTTTGCTTTACTTCAGTACAAAGGAAACAAATTGTAGCCAGCTGGAATGTCGTTTTGAGACCAAGAACAAGCCTCTGCCAACCTTTCACATCTGCAGTCAATCGAACAAACTTGAAATTGGTACTGGGCAAACGATATGTGCCAAATTAATATTCATAAGGCAGGCTGACAAGGTTTATGACGGGTCAGATTCTGCCAGATGATTATTTTTTGTTAAAACTTGTTTATCAGTACGATGGCCGATATAATCGAATTAAGTGAATTCACATGCTTCAAATGAAACAATTTAATAAGATAATAACATACAAATATAACATTATTAATTAATTAAAAACAATAGTAAAACATCTCCTTTGCTCTTTTTACAAAATAATAAAAAACTAAAAATTAGCCTGTTAATAATTCACTCCCTTGTGTGGTTTAAATACAGGTTCAACTGATGGTCAGAGGTCACGGCTAATCTGGACTAGTAGTTTTAAAAAGGCTCTTTTGCTACCTTAAGGAAACCTTATCCCTGAATCGCCCTCATTACTAATATGTGACTGGGGGCAGTAGCTACTGTGAAAGGCCTTCACTGGAAGACTGCACGATAGAATCCTTACCCCCTCTTCATTTTACGCCTCTCAGCTCTTATTGGCTTTTCCTCTGGGAGAGAGATAAGAGGCAGGCATATTTTTCATTTAAGCCCCTAGTCTCTGTCTCCGAGTAAAGGAGAAAAAGAGATACCAAAGAGTGGAAGAAGAACTTAAAAACAGTTTGAGTTGAAGAAAGGAGTCCAACGCAAGCATCATGCAAAAGACACCACAACTCTCCAGTATTATCAATACGAGGTCCTCGACTCACGGCAGCCATGAAAAGTTGGAGCTGGCACTTTGCGTTCCACCTTATTCGATCGGGGCCTCTTTTATGTCCTCTCAGTCGCAGCTGTCAGAGCCCATTTCTCTCAACTTCTTAATAAACTGCCATCTCGGAGCATTGCATGAAGCTAAAATTCCAGCAGGGAACCTCAAGACTGCAGTGCCAATTCATAGGGGCCCCAGAGGCACAACCTTGAAAAATGCTCGCTCTTCCAAAAAAATAAAAGAGAAAGAAATAAAATGTCATATTTAAAATACATCCAGCTTTCCAAAAATGTGGTTGCCTTTAATATACGAAGGCAGGGTTTGGTTCTTTTGGCTTTCTGTGGTCTTAAATAAAAGTCACGCAGAGTGATTCACCGCCACTCAAGGCCATTCAAATCCTTCCAGGTGGTTTCGTGCCACCCAGTTCCCAACCCGTCTCAATTGCGTATTAAACTGAAAACACTTTCGGCCAACCCGACCAGGAAGTGGCCGGACACCCCGAATGCCCACAGGAACTCGGTTCGGATGGTGCCATGGCGATTTATCCCCAAGGATCTCTCAAGGGCCAGGTTTTTCACAGGCCCGGGCGACAGGATATGGCACGGACGGACCTCCCCCCGTTCTCTCTTTTATTATGAAGAAAAATAATAGGCTTAGGTTTTTCTATTCATATTTGCAGAGAGGCGGTGCCGATTGAAAAGAAGCATGTCCATTTAGGATTTTATATGCAGGTCTGGCCAACCCTGCCTCTAGAGCCCCTCAGATGTGGTTTAAAAGAAATTTCATTGTGCAGAACCCAAGCTGGCTGAGGGCCGGCAGAAAATCCAGAGGAAAAAGCAAGAGTGCGGGAAATGGCAAACTTGGGTGCAATGAGTTGGGAGACAAAATGGACACTGTTCATTTCAACAACTTGTCCAAAAAGCACCTCTACTTCAACCAATCAGCACTAAACACTGAAAGGTAATGAAAAATGATCAGGTCTAGATGATAGAAAATCTGGATGGGAAACCATCTATCATCTAACCCAAAAAACCTAACCACTGCCTGTGGCAACATTTCTGCAAAATGACATTAAGTTGCTTCTTACGTGTTTCGCAACACTTTCAAAGTGAAATGTCCAGTGAGTAGCACTAAAAGCACATCAACTTTTATCTGAAACAGATCTGGTAGCGCTTTATTATGTTGGTTGTTGTACGTTAAGGTTAATGCTCCATCACGTTTGAAAATAACGTACCAACTACACTAATACTGGCGCTAAACCGAACTAATAGTGTTGACAAAAGCAAGCGTTGTGATAAAACACATTTGTTGAAGCAACCATGCTATTTCCGCTGCTTCTACAAGACTTTATGGGATTCGTACCTTCTCGCTTCGCATCGCAAGTTCAATACTATACCATGTGAGTTACAGAGCAAGTTTAGCCATAGAAAAGCCATGTATAGAGAGCCTAAGTCCCGCCCCTCCGCTTCCGGCTCATGGGACCTTATTTCAGAAAAAATATGAATGGTAGTCAATGGCGAGAGACAACTCATCTTTTTATTCCGTCTGAACTGTGCCCTCAATTACACATATGATGTTTGTCAATTTAAAAGATAATTCTGAAAGTCAAAAACGTCGCAGTTTGTCATAAAACAGAAGAGTAACATTTAGTTTTATGTGAAAATCGCTCTATGAACTACGTCTCCCGGGAAGCGAAACAACGAGTGAGATCCTCTGCTCGTGTGTGTGCAGTCTGGTACAAAACACTCAAGTATGACGGCGTAACGTTAGAAACAATGAAAGAC